CTCCCAAGCTGAGGTATGGCATGCACACTTGGGGCACTTGGGAATGCAAGCATTGAAAGAATTGGTAAATCACAAGAGCGTGGAAGGATTGAGTTTGAGTGAATGTGCAGTCAAGTCCCTTTCTTTCGTTCCATGTCCATCTTGTATGGAAGGTAAGATAGCAAGAATGCCATTTTTCCCTTCTAAGTCTTAGTCAAGGGACCTTCTAGAGTTGGTCCACACTGATGTATTCGGAACCATGCGAGACCCTACTGGAAACGGTAAGAGATATTTGGTGTCCTTCATTGATGACAAGAGTCGTTTCTCGTGGTCCTTTTTCATCAACACCAAGGATGAAGTTCACAAGTGTTTCAAGCAATGGCTAGCACTTGTTGAGAGAGAGTCAGAGAAGAAGTTACTCACCTTGAGGTCGGACCGAGGAGGTGAGTACACGGGGAAAGCATTCACGGTGAGTACACTTGTTGGCATTGGGCGTCAAACAACAGTTCACTTGTCCCTATAGTCCTCAGCAAAACGGAGAGTGGCAGAGATGTTTCATCGCACTTTTCAAGCTATAGTTACCTCGTTTCTTCAGTTTAAAGGCCTTGACAAGCTCTGGTGGGGTGAGGCAATCACTATGGCAATTTATGTTCGCAACAGGAGACCCACAAGGCCCCTACCGGATGGTGTAACGCCATATAACGCTTGGTTTGGAGTTAAACCAGATCTGTCTATGCCTCGTGTTTTTGGTTCCATGGCCCAATACCATGTTCCGGGTGCAAAGATTCTCATGCTGGACAGCAAAGCTCATTGGGGCCTCTTCATCGGCATGAGCAACGAGAGCAAGGGATGGTTCCTTTGGGATCCCGTCACCAAACGTGAAGTGGTTTCAAAGCATGTGGTCTTCTATGAAGACATGTCCCTTGCAGATTGGCACAAGTTTTCCTCTTCCTCCTCTCTACCACCCTCTATCCAACAGGAACCAGCAAGAGCACCTGAAGAAACAACACAAGAGGAGGAAGAAGATGACACCGATTCTGACCATAGTGGAACCATCATTGATCTCCCGCAAGCCGTTGTGAATGAGACCAGCCATGCGACGCTAGTGCCACCAGCAGCTACTCAACCAAGTGGAGATGAAGTTCAGCCATCAAATGAAGACCATTCACCTCAGGAAGTCACCATTCCATCACCGCCAAAGGAGCAACAGCCAACCGTCACAAACCAGCCAGCTATTTCAACACCAACCTCACAAGTTCAACGTCAACCAGATCGGCCTACCACTACGCCATCAAACCCATCACCAGCCGTCACTCCAGAGGCAACTACGGAAGCTCACCACCATCCAATGCAGCATCAAACAGCAGCTACAAGACCCCAAGTACCTACGTCAACACCATCTACGATTACTCCTAGCAACAGGTCAACCGTCACCGCAATACCTCGTTCTCATACCACACATTTGTCACTTCAGGTTCCAACTTCAAGCCAGCTCATAGCACGAGGATCACTTCAGAAAGTCACCACCAACACCAGCTCCAACAGCCCACTTCACCCAAAACCTTTCTCAACTTCACCACCACGTCCCAGAATCAGCCGTCCTCAGTTACCGCCATCTTCAACACTGAAAAACAACCCCAATCATCACCACCTCTCGACAACGCAGCGTCATCATCGATCCCCAAGCTTCTAGTTTCAAGATCCCCACCAAGAGCTTCATCACAAACAACTATGCCGACGAACGTTTCAGCTTCACCGCCACGAGTCACCACACCTATTCCTCAAGTCGACACCGATAATCAAGAGAGTTCAACGCCGGGAGAAGATTATGCAGCCGTGGCGCCGTCGCAGCCAGTGTCGCAGCCGTTTTCTCAGCCGCAAATGACCGTATCAATGCATTCAAACACTGTGAGACCAAACCCCACCACCGATGTGTGTCAGCTAAGTGAGGTTTATGGTAAAGGTAAACAAGTCCGCAACGTTAAAAAGCCCTTCACATTCATGGTTGACATGTCATCAAGGTGCACATGTGAGGAGAGCGAGAATTTCATTCACAAGAAGGTAGAAGCAATATGCATGGCAGCGTCACACCTTCCACGAGAGCCATCGAGTCGTCGTGAGGCAATGACAAGTCCTAAGAGAGAGCTTTGGTTGAAGGCCGAGGAAGAGATTGAGAGTCTCATGAAGCAAGGTACATGGTGTCTTGTTGAGCCACCTCCAGAGAAGAAAGTAATTGGTGTCAAATGGGTGTACAAGGCTAAGGTAATAGGTGATGGTAGCCTTGATAGGTACAAGGCAAGGCTAGTGGCAAAAGGTTATTCCCAAATTCCAGGTTTAGACTTCACCGAAACCTTTGCCGCGGTAGCGAAGTACACCACAGTACACCACCAAGAAGAGGTACACCACGGCACAACCCGAAGGTTATGATGATGGTATGGGTCGAGTTTGTCGCTTGGTAAAGTCACTTTATGGTCTCAAACAGTCCCCTCAGTATGGTATCATGCTCTTGAGAAGGTACTCTTCAAGCACGGTTTCACAAGGTCCATGAGAGACAACGCTTTGTACTTCATGCACACGAGTGAGGGGGAGTACATTTGGCTCTTGGTATATGTTGATGACCTCCTCCTAGTCTCAGGTTCTGTTGATCTCCTCAACAAGGTGAAAGGTATTCTCATGAGTGCATTCACGATGACCAATCTTGGTGAGCCGAGTCATTATCTTAGTATGAAGATTGTGAGAGATCATAAGTCACAGTCCATCTTTCTATTCCAGAAAAGGTACATCCAAAAGGTCCTTGAGAGGTTTGGTCTTGAAGATAGCAAGCCATCACCTACCCCACTTCCTTCCAGCTTTGTCCCTTTGTCTTCACATCAGCCCTATCAGGAGAGATAGTCAAGCCTTGACATCACGGGTATTGAGGAGTTGTGTCTTGAGGCGAGTGAGCATCATGGTGAGAATTCACCCAAGGTATCCCCACAAGACCTAGCTCTCTATCAAAGTCAGGTTGGGTGTCTCATGTATGCAGCCCTATGCACAAGGCCCGACTTAGCATACACGGTATCTAAGCTAGCTCAACACGAGTGCTCCATCATCCATCCATATGCATGCAACCAAGCGAGCTCTTAGTTATCTCGAAGGTACTTCTAATCTCGGTCTTTTCTTCCAAACCAGCCCACATGCATGCTCCCTCCAAGGCTTTAACGATGCAGAATGGGCGGGAGAATTGAGCACACGCAAATCCACCGGCGGCTACATCTTCCTCATGTGCGGTGCCGCTGTTTCTTGGCAATCACGCAAGCAAAGTTGTGTGGCGCTTTCTACAACCGAAGCCGAGTACATGGCAATGACCGAAGGAGCAAGGGAGGCAATCTGGTTACGTGGACTCTTGGAGGACTTGATGTTATAGTCACAATAGGCTCCAATGTGCCTAAAACGAAAGATAGAGTGCATAGTCGGATTTCTGCACAGCGGCTTTAAACGTTCATAGCGTTCTGATCACAGCTTCAAATGACCTGATTCAACTTGGATCTGGGGCGTCCTAGTGTCGCCTACAATAGGCAATTTATATCGCACGATTTCACCAAATATTGACGACACAGCGTTGGTTTGAATGAACGGCACTATCGCAGCCACTATAGTCCTAGAACACACAACTAGGAAGAGTTACAAGTTGGGAATGACTCCCAGCTCCTACAAGAGCCGAGGTACAGTGATTTGGAACAGTGCCACACTGTCCCCAACCAAGAAGGGGCTCGAAACAACCCTCCACAAGGGTCTACACCAACAGAAATGTTACACTACACATTGTATTGTAACTATCTTCAACATCTTGAAGTGTACCCTTTTGGCGAGCTTCGAAATCACTTGAAGCTTGACACCAAGGCTCTGGTTCTTCATCACAAACTCATCCTTGAGTTCTTGATGGGTCTGTTGCACACACCTGCGACACACCGAACGTTCGACATAGGACAAAATAGAAACCGCGCACGGGACACACAACAAAATAGAAACCGCGTAGGACACACAAATGATCGCGTAACACGCGACTAGCGATAACTCACTATTGACTCGACACACACACTTGACATCATAACTCAACATTCACACACTATTATAAGCATAAAATATATATTATCCCATGCCCTCATACCATTACATGCACACACGCGTGCACGCACATGGACAACAAGCCGAGTGCAAACCGTAGGGTTGCACCAACAAACTCCCCCTCGGATTGTTGGCCTTAGGAACTTGCTCTCTCGGTTCAGAGCCATCCCAGCCAGCTTGCAACATTTCCAATGCTACTGCTCCACCAGCCGTTTGGTCATCATGTCAGCTGGCTGCCCTGTCGTCTTCACGTAGTGCCACTTCACCCTCATGTGCTTTGTAGGCCGTGCAACACAGGATTCTTAGCTAGAGCAATGGCACCCTGGATGTCACAGTAGAGTGGGGTACGTCCTTGCTGCTCCTCCCCCAATTCAGCCAGCAAACGCCACTGCCACACAATCTCCCGTACGGCACGGAAGAGTACCATGTACTTGGACTCCACCGAGCTCAATGCTTGGTCCACGTGCTTCTTGCTCTCCCAAGCAGCTGGGCCCACCTAGGGATGAGCACGAGGCGAACACGAACATGTTCGCGTTCGCCTAGGCTGGAACAAGGTCGTTCGGCGAACCGAACACTGCTCGGTTCGTTGAACGGTTTTTGCCCAAAGGGGTGTTCGATGTTCGCCTTCAGAGGCGAACATTTCGAACACTAAGTCGAACACAAACGTGTTCGACAGGAACATGTTCGTGTTCGCCCCTGAGGGCTGTGCAAAATAAAAAACATAAGTTCAACACTGTAAAGGGTTCCACCTAGAAGGGTATTCACTTTGGTTTTGATTTGACTAACCCTTGACGTCTTTATAACAACTTAAAAGATCATAAATAAAGTTCGCAAGATAACATGTCCACAGTCAAAGGAATCAACATGAGAGTGTCACAAAAGGGTCCCTCCATACCCCCCTAACAAAATGAAAACTACAGCCCAGTCCCAGCCCCGCCTCCAACGCCACCATCCTCGCCACCTCCCGCTGCTGCGTCCGCCCCTCTCCCCTCCGCCGCGTCCTCAAACACCTCCTCCACCGCCTCCCCCTCCACCTCCTCCTCCGCCTCCTTCTCATCCTCCTCCTCTACCTCCACCAACTCCTCCTCCTCCTCCTCCTCCTCCTCCTCCTCCTCCTCCTCCTCCTCCTCCTCCTCCTCCTCCTCCTCCTCCTCCTCCACACCCTCGCCCTCAATAGCGATCTCCAGAGCTGCGACCCCTTTCGTACAGCAGCCCTCACCGATCCTCTGGCCAGGGTGCGATCCGTACCATGATCTCAGAATCATGCAGGATCGCGCCCTCTCGGATTTCAGCTGGTGTCGCTTCCATGAAATGAGGTTGCGGCCCAAGGAGAACACGCACTCGCTTGCCGTAGACATGGCTGGGATTGCAAGATAATCCCTCGCCATCGTCTTCAACGTCTCCATGTTCGTGGAGGTGCGCCAGTACTCTAACGCTTACACGTCGTACCGCACCCTCTCGAACAAGTACCTGCTAACCTGATCATCTTGCACAAGACCACCCCCCCCCCCCCCCCCCCCCCCCCCGCCGCGTGGCTCGCAGACAGACGCGCCGCAAGGCTTCGGCGACTAGGGAGATACAGGTCGTCGTCGTCCTCCCCCCCCCCTCTCTCCCTCATCCTCCTCTACAACCGTGGGAAGTGCCGTCGGCCTAGGAACCAGCTCCCTCGCCGCTGCCTGGTACTCGGCCACCCGATCTCGTACCAGGGCAATTACCACGCTTGACGGTGGGCGCGGCCTATCCCTGCCCTCCGTCTCTGGATGTTGCGTCTCCCAGTGGGGGTCGTCGAACCATGCTGCCTTCATGGAAGGATCCAAAAAGGTGGCGATCCAGCCCTCGTTGCTGCTGATATACACGTACTTCTTCAGGATTTTCAGCGCCTTTTCGACTAGTGGCTTCAGCATCGCCGAGGGCCACTTAGCGAGTGGCGTCGATGAGGCCGTTATAGTACGGCAGACAAAATCGACAGAGTCAGGTACGCCGTCCCCTCGGCTGCCTTGGAGACCTTGTTGAAGGGGCTGAGAAAATTCTTCAGCTCCCTCAACATCCCACACTGCTCATCTGACAGGCGCATCTTCTCCACCTTCTCCTTGTCCGCCTTTGACAAGCCTTGTCAGGACGGGTTTGGGTTTTGTGGGGCATATGAGTGTGATGGTTCTTGGGGATGGGTATCGCAATTCATGCAACCAACAACCATGCCATACACATGGCATACACATGCCGCACACATGCCACCCACATGGCATACACATGGCACACACATGCAGCACACATGGCACACACATGCCGCACACATGCCATACACATGCCACACACATGTTGCACACATGGCATACACATGGCACACACATGCCGCACACATGGCATATACATGGCAAACACATGCCGCACACATAGCATACACATGGCACACACATCCTGCACACATGGCACACACATGCCACACACATGCCACACACATGTCGCACACATGGCATACACATGGCACACACATGCCGCACACATGGCACACACATGCCGCATACATGCCATACTCATGCCACACACATGTCGCACACATGGCATACATATGGCACACACATGCCGCACACATGGCATACACATGGCACACACATGCCACACACATGCCACACACATGTCACACACATGGCATACACATGGCACATATATGCCACACACATGCCACACACATGCCACACACATGCCACACACATGGAACACACATGCCACACACATGTCACACATATGCCACACACATGCCACACACATGGCTTACACATGGCACACACATGCCGCACACATGGCATACATATGGCACACACATGCCACACACATGCCACACACATGTCGCACACATGGCATAAACATGGCACACACGTGCCGCACACATGGCACACACGTGCCACACACATGCCACATACATGTCGCACATATGGCATACACATGGCACACACATGCCGCACACATGGCACACACATGCCACACACATGCCACACACATGTCGCACACATGGCATACACATGGCACACACATGCCGCACACACATGCCACACACATGCCGCACGCATGCCAGCCACATCTGCCAATAATCCCATGTCTCATCCCCATCCTGTACCTGAGTCGAGGCCAAGAACACAGTGATCGGGTTCTCCAGCTCAAGATAGCGCTCGAGCATCGCATGAGTGGAGCCCCAGCGGGTAGGATTGTCCTGCACCAGCTTCAAGGCTGGTTTCTTGACACGGGCCTGCTGGTTCAGGCCCCGCTGAAGTCCCAGAAACGCCGCCGAGCGTTGAGGCGAGTACCCAACCCAGGACGCCATATCTCTGAGCACCTTCAACAAGGCGCGAACGGCCTCCACCTTCAGTCCTGCCTGCACTGCCAAGTTGACCATATGTGACACACACCTGCATACCATAACACCACAGGCATGGGATTTGGGAGGTAGTGGCACATGGTCTTTGGTTGAAGTGGCATGGGAGATTACTAAAACTCCAGATACACCCACACAACCCCCACACTGCCGTTCGCGGCCTGCCACACTGATATCACCCCCACACCACACACACTCATACCTGAAGTGCAGGAAGGAGTTGAAGAAAGTCTGACCACCACCCTCCTCCGACAGCCATGTGTACGCGGCAATGTTGGCTGAGGCGTTGTCTGTGGTGAGGCCCAGACAACGCCCCTCCAACCCCCACATCACCACCGTGTCCTCCACGATCTGCGCGATCTGTGCTGCGCCATGACGACCCGGAAGCTCGCGAAACTCGAGCACTGCCTCGCGTAGCCGAAACGACTCGTTGATCCATTGACCTGACACAACCAACCAAGCTTTCCCATTGGGCGCAGTCCAGATGTCAATAGTGTACGACACCTTGCATCCCAACTCCCCCTCCTTCCGCTGTAGCTCCGCCTTGGCTGCATGCAGAGCGGCCGCTGAAAATGCCACCGTGTCATGTGCCACGGTCCAGCACGAAGGTATGAAGTTCCTCTGCCCACAGTGGTGGTTGCAGAGAACCAGAAGCTCGCGAAACTGGTGGGGTGGGTGGAGGGAGAACATACAACGAGCATGCGTTGGGTCTCGCTTAACAGTTGCGAATGACATGGAACGAAGTGGCGCAAGTGCCCCAGCCCAACACCCTCCCCTCAACATCATGCGCTCACCGTACGGTTGCACCAACACTTTAGGCAGCCGCAAACTCAACCGACTCCGCTCTACGTGGACAACACTTCAGCCATCGCCCTTTCCAAGAACTCGGTTCATCATAGGCATACAAAACACATTGAGGTGCAGTACCACTTCATCCGTGAGCAACTAGTGAAGGGAGTTCTCGCCTTCAACTTTTGCCGTTCCTTCGATCAAGTGGCAGATTTCATGACTAAGGTTCTTCCACATGATGCATTCAACATGTGCAAGGCAAGAGCAGGTCTCATGAAACTTCACGAAGCAGTGCAGCAGTTTGAGGAGAATGAGGAGTGTGAGGAGAAGAGACATGGGCAGCATCATGGAGTGTATGCTAAGGAGAAATAAGAGGAGCATAAGCATGGGCATATGTGTGCTTCGGGTCTGGTGCGAGGGGGAGTGTTGGAGAATCGAGTTTCTGCCGCCCCAGCCCTTTATACACAAGGAGCAGCAAGGGGGGAATGTCGGCGACGGATTCAAGGCTTCGCAAAATATTCAGAAACTTCCGCAACCAATCAGATTGTGGCCGAAGACTTGGCTCCTTCTGGCACACTCCGATCTCCTCCAATAAACGCCTCAGCCACACAACCTCCTTTGCCCCATGATGAAGGGCCATCACGAGGACAGCCCCACAAACTTAATCTTCCCAGGGGGTTTTACCTCGTCAAGCAAATCTGTCCGTGGGGTCATATGACTTGTGCAACCTAAATCGATCACCCAGTGAGTGAGGGGATGCATCACAACCTTCCCAACCGAACCCACATCACCCTCACTCCCTTTCACATCCGCAACCATCAGGAACATCCCAGGTTCGGATTTACCTTGTGCTCCATCACCTTGTGCACCTGAACATTGCACAGCGCCACCTTGTGCACGTTCACCACTTGGCAGCTTCATGCCTGGGGGCGCCCATCCCTCAGGCCGGCTGAATTTTTTTAACCACGGATGTCCAGCCTTCTTGCAATACCAGCACGCACCCTCCATTCGAGTGCTCCCCCTATCACTAGAGCTCCCATGCCCTTCATTATAATCACCTCGGCCTCTCCCTCTGCCAAAGCCTCTCCCACGGCCTCGGCCTCTCCCTCCCCCTCTTCCTCTGCTGCCTCCTGCAGCTCCATACCCCTCAGCAGTTTTGTTGGCAGCACCACCTCCCGTGTGGTGCCTGCAGAAGTCTTCCTGCAGGATCTGCTGCCGTAGCCACTCAGGCGTCCACTTATCCTGCTGAACGTTGAGGGTGGGGATGAGGTTGTCCCACGAGTTGTCGAGCACCCAGATGATCTTGGTGCATTGCTGCATCTGCAACACCTCTCTGCCCGCCGCATCCTCGCATAGGTGTCCTTGATCTTGTCAAGGAGCGGCTTCACATCATCTCCCAATCGCATGGAGATGGCCGCCAGATCCTTGAGCACGATCACTATGGGCAGCGTGTTGGGCTGAATCACGTCGCGCAGTAGCTTCCACACCTTTGGACCGGAGTCGTCCAACTCAACCAAGTCCTTGATGTGCTGGAACATGTCGTTATTGACCGATTGCAAGATGAGGTCGAACAACATTATGATCTGCTCGATCCAGCGCTTTCGAGCATCTCCTTCCTCGGACATTTTCTCTTCTCCCATTGCAAGTTTGAGCAGCTTGTAGCGCTTGAAAACGCTCCTCATCCGCCCGCTCCATCCCTCGTAATTGGAGCCATCAAACGCCTCAATCTTGGATCACTTCTCTACTCAGCTGCTTCTCCACTCCCTTGACTCATCTCTGTTCCAATCACAGGTTCCAGCTCCCCCTTTGCTGTCCACACGGAAGCCCCACACAATTTTCACAAGTGTCGGCGCCAACGAAATTCCGGCAGAGTTTCCCCTTAGCGGAAGTCACATCCAACCTCCAGAACTCCACTTAGGCACGCCCACAGGCCATGGTGGTTCTAGGAGGGTCTTCACACTTCAGTAGACTCTCCACAAAGTCTTTAATCAACTCTGATACCACTTGTTAGAGACTAAGGACGAGGTCTACGAAGATTAGGGGCCTAAATTTCTCAAAATCGTTGGCTTAGAATTCTGGACAGAAAAGTCGCCGTTACGAGATACGTCGTCGAAGAAAAACGCACTGTTGAATCTTGACTACTTTTGGACTTGTTGTAGCTCTAACCCGTAGCTACAATTCCCAAGTTGAATCGTATTAAGAGGTGAAGTAAATCTTGAGTTATCGATTTCGGCGCATTGGGGGGTATGCTGCCAAAAGAACTTAACTCTATAACAAAAAACTCACAAGTCCACACAAGAAAGTTAGAGTAGCTAGAAACCAGGTAGGAGGGGAGAGGAGGACGAGAGGGAAGGTCCCCAAGGAGTCCCCAACCAGGGAAACCCCATAATCACATTAAATCCCCTTTCTATAGCAACCCCACTTATACTTTTGTCACTTTTCCAACCTCCACAATCCACCTTACCCAAGTTGGCCACACTTGCCAACCCAATTTGGTTTCTCCCAACCACTTGGCAGCATCTACAGTGACAGGGGCGAATTTCCCAACCCCCAAAGGTCTGTACCCCATTTTGAGTCAACACGCAAATTTTCATAGTCGCTGCACCACAACCAAAACTTCGAATGATCATGTATTTCTCGTTCTTGCGCCGATCGTGACGATTCTTGGTAAATCGGAAAGCTCTTGAGCAGAGGAGTCACTTCAGATATCTGCTCAAGTCAAATAAAATTCACACAAACTCAGAAAATCCACACAATTTCTTGCACACGCTCACACAATGCATGCAAAGCACGAACATATGATGGGAGGCAGACGCACGTGAATGCAAATGATAGCTTCACATAACAAAAACTTGGCTCCTATCTGAAGGTAACCTGTGGGGCCATCCACGCTCATCGCACCATGCGGAGAGTTACACTACAATAGGCATGAGCTAGACTACGGGGGTTGGCATTGTCAAACTTATATGCTATGGTCTTTCTAGGTTGTATTGGGGTAGATACTATAGGGTACAACATTTCTAGGTTTCCTACTTGTACCAACATTTTACCTAGTCAATTCATTCCTGGTAATTCTCACATGGTATAGAGCAGGTTCCCTAGTGGGAACGTTTTCTAGGGCCCACCACTATTACGAAAATATTTTTTTCCTTACCTGCACGGAGCGCGCTTTGCACCTGCCCTAGTCGCGCCCCGTGCGCCTTACCTCCCGTCGCGTCCCCTGCCCTTAGCGGCCCGTCGCGCCCCTTACGGCCCCTTCGTGGCCCCTTCTTGGCCCTTCGCGGCCCCTCCTCATGGCCCTTCGCGATCCCTTCACGGCCCCTCGCGGCCCCTTCGCGGCCCTTCGCGGCCCCTTCGCGGCCCCTCGCAGCCCCTTCGTGGCCCTTCGCGGCCCCTTCGCGGCCCCTCCGCGGCCCTTCGCGGCCCTTCGCGGCCCCTTCACGGCCCCTCCGCGGCCCCTTCTCGGCTCCTCGCGGCCCCTTTGTGGCCCCTCCATGACTCTTCACGGCCCTGCCGCCCCGTCGTCGCCGCCCCAGCAGCAGCTGCCATCGCGCCTGCTGCCGCTACTGCTTCCACCACGGCCGGTCGCTGCTGCTGCCGTGACAGCCCCCGCCGCTGCTGCTGAGACAACCGCCACTGCCACTGCCGTGACAGCCGCCGCCGCCGTCCCGGCCCCACCCTGCAGCCGAGTCGCGGCCCTCCTCTGCCGCCCTGTCGTGGCCCTGTTCCTCCCGGCGCACCTCGGCCCTGCCCCACACTTGCGGGCTTCTACCCACCCGCCCCTGGTAAGCGCACCGCCGAGCCGCACCCCTCCTGTTGCTGCTACTGCTAACCTGCCTCTGCTGTTACTACTACTAGCCTGCTGCTGCTGCTGTCATGGCTAACCCCAATGTGCTCACCTTTGATGCTAAGGGTCGGGCTGTCGACTTTGAGGTCTGGGTCGACGATCTGCAGCTTTTCATGCTGTGCGATAGAAAAGACGGTCTCTCACTGTTCTATCTCACGTCTGGCGCCTCTGCTGCCCCTACTGCCGATAATGACAGTACTGTTTGCTCACAGTGGGCCACACGCAATGCTGCTGCCTGTCTTGCTGTGCGTAGTCACCTGCCATCCACTGAGCGCGCACACTTTAGTCAGTACAAGAGTGCTAAGACCTTGTACTACGCTGTAGTTGCACGCTACTCTTCCCCTGCCACTACTGCCCTTAGTAGCCTCTTGTTGCCATACTTGTTCCCTGACCTCGCCGCCTTTCCCACAGTCGCTGACCTCATTACACACCTCCGCACTAGTGACACCCGCTACCGCGCTGCGCTTCCTACAGAGTTCTGCGCCAAGAACCCCCCCCCCCCCCCCCCCCCCCCCCCATGTACATCACCCTCAACTACCTAGTCACCCGACTCCCTAACTCCCTTCGCTCGGTCAGGGACCACTTCCTCTCTGTTTGCCCCACCGCACTTACCGTTGACCTCCTCAAGGAGTGCCTCGTTGCAGCCGAGAAGAGCATAATCGCTGTAGGAGCCTCTTGTGGTGACCCTCGTGCCCCCTTCTTGGAGGGGTGCTCCCCCTCCCCCCTTTTTCCCTCTGTTGCCTCTGCTGCTGCTGTCGACCTCGTTGGCACCGACTCAGTTGGCACTGCGTCTGCCCCTAGCAGGAGACGCCGCAACGGCAAGGGCAAAGGGGGCAAGGGCGCTGGAGGAGTTGTCGGGGGGGTGATGGTGGCGGTGGAGGCGGCGGAGGGGGTGGGGGTGGCGGTGGGAGTGGTGGCGGGGGTGGGGGCTTCGGTGGCGACGGTGGAGGCGGAGGCGGCGGCGGCGGTGGCGGTGGGAGCGGAGGAGGTGGAGGTGGCGGCGGTGGCGGTAGCGGTAGTCGAGCTGGTCCAGGTGGCTCTGTGCAGCGGGGCGGCTTCGGTGGTGGTCAGCGCTAGCAGCAGCAGCGCGCTCGTGAGA